TCCCGATCTACTGAGCCGACCTGTGACAGTCTCATTGTCACAGGTCGGCTAGAACTATGAGGTGAGTGAAAAGCGCTCCCCCCCCTCTCCCCCCTCATACTTCTCCTTTAACTTTTCCTAATGTTTAGCAGACTGATCTTCAAAATATCTCTGTACTCAATACAGAAACCCTTTAATGAACGGTGACCTGCCTGCCCGGACCAACAAAAACCGCACTGTGAAACGGCAATGCCGCCACACAGATCTGCTCTCCTGACAATGGCGTTCAGGGCGTCTAATGTTCAAAACTATTCTCATTAAAACCTTCTTGTTTTGGTGCCGGGTTGCCATGGAAACGCAGAGTAACATGTTGCTTTTAATTGCACATTCAGACGTTTGGAATGGCTGCGGTCTGTAAAAATTCCTCCCCGATCGTTAACCCCTCAGCTCCAGTCCTAACGAGGACCTCCAACCAAAATGAAGAAATGATATCAGGACTCTTCAGTCATTGCGCCTAGTGAAGTGCCATGTACAAATATCGGTGTACACAAACGAGGGATAGGGGGCCAAACATCTATATGTACATATAAATAAAGCTCTTGGGTCACCTATTGTAAATATACAAATATCGGTGTCACTTCAAAAGTCGTTTGAAATGTTGACCATGAAGAGCATCAAATACTGCCAATGTGTTTCATGGGAAAGGACTCCCAGACCGAGCTGGCCGTTCACAGGCACTAGTCTCCATCCAGCCTTAATTCAGGTCCTCTGGTGCATTCTATCTTGATTTTTTTGTTTTTACATCCATTGCTCAAGCTCTGAAGAAGGGGGAGACTTATCCCCCAAAATGCATTGGAAGTATCGGATACTCCTAACCAATAAATGCTTCCATAGACTTGTGAACTGATATGAACTTTTGTACTAGGTGTTTCTCATTGCACATTCAAGAGTTGAGCTCTTTAGGAGAGAGAGGTAGCAGCCTAGGACTAGAACAAGGTCCACAGACACTATAACTCCCTGGAAGATCTGAAAAATGTCACTCTCTGCTGCCAATTTACACTTTTATTGGTCCAGCACTATCACATACCTACCAGATTATATCCAATGTAGAAGCCTTGTTGTATCTCATGCCTATGGTAAATATCAGTGCATGTAATGTACATCCAGAGCTAGTATTATACATGACCAGGTCAGCCATCAGGGGGGTACGGCCGATATTCATGTAAGTGGCCCGGGCAGCCTGGGGTGCTTCTTAAAGTGTGGGTCGCGACCCCATATGGGGTCCCGCAAGTGAACAGGGGGGTCGCGATCTGAGTCCCCGGCCAGGACCACCATCAGGGGGGTACAGCCGGTACTTGTGTGAGGGGCCCAGGCGGCCGGGGAGGCCTGGGCTCCAAGCAAGATTTTTTTTTTTTCGTTTAATGTGCAGTGTAGTGTAGTTTTTAAGGTTGCATACCCCCCCACCTCTGTGCACTTGGTACCTTCCTGAGCACGTGCATGCAGGAAGGTTTTTTTTTACATTGACGGAGCTTCCTTTAACCCAGCAGAAGTGGAGCACAGCTGCTGGAGGTAAAGATAAGGAGGGAGAGGGGGCTTAATAGTAGGTGGTAATGACACACTGACTGTCCGTCCACGGCGGGGGGGGGAAAGAGGGGAGAGACACCGTTCCGATGCTGGGGTCCCCTAAAAATTTCCTCGGCCAAAAAGGGGTCACGAGTGGAGAAAGTTTAAGAAGGCCTGCCTTACATGACTATCGGCCACCGGTGAAGGGCGAGGAGGCGGAGGCCTGGCCCTAGCAGCGCAGGGCTCACGCATTGCCGCTCCAGCGGCTTTGAGACAAGCTAGGGCCCCATCAGCGACGCTGCTCATCTGATGTCGGACTGGACGGAAGTGACGTCATGTTAGTGACGTGACGTCATGTTAGTGACGTGACGTCATGTTAGTGATGTGATGTCACTTCTGGCCGGTCCGGCGGCAGACGAGGCCATGTGTGCAGGTAAGAGGAGCTAGGAAGGAAGGAAGGAAGGAAACGAGGGAGGGATGCAGCCCTGACCAGCCGACCTGAGACCCCTGCAGAGCCCACCATAGACAGTCTCAGATGGGCTGTGCAGCATCTATGGTGGGCTCTGCAGGGTCACTCTCAGGTGGGTCCTGTGTCCAGTGCGTCACTAAGCCCTGCGTCCAGCACGTCATGATTTTGTACAGTCCTGTAGTCTTACCTCCACTGACGTAATATAGTCATGATAACCATTGCTTGTAACAGTTGGGGCAATTGTGTCCTCCCAATGGGGCAAAACCTTCACCACAGACAGCGATATTCCAGTGTGTGGGCCCTATCCTTCATGTCTGTGAAGGCTCTTATTTATTCCTGTCATGGAATACCAAGAAGTAGCTAATCACATTTACCGGCACTTGTTCTGTAATGTTGAAGACGTTTTACTGCCCGTCCAAGAGTCTTCCTCGCCTTTAACAAGTGTCAGGAACATGCCAGCATTTATAGCCACATCTACAACTCAGCCACCTCAATCGAGTCACCATGAAATGTGTCAAGGCAGATGTTGATCGTCCAAAAACAGGACGAGAGGTATGACAGTTTATAATCCAGTATCCAGTCACCATTGTGTTTTATGAAGTCTGGGACAGGTGGGAACTCCAGTCATCCTTTATGAACACGCCCCCATATAGCAAGGGTTGAATGATGGTTTAGTCTAGGGCAGTGGTTCTCAACCTGTGTAACCTCAGGACCCACATTTGTCCTTGGTCATTAAGTCACGACCCAATTCGCACTGCAATGGAATACATGGCATTGCGGTACCAGGCGTTTGAATGCAGGCGATCAGACTGTGGGTGGGAGGTGCATTTGGGGTGTCATTCAAATTAATGGCAACGCAATGCATCTTCCACCAGAATGCGCAGTAGGTGCTATTGCATGGTACAGTGCATTAATCCCATGGGACAGTGTACTAGTGTGAACGGACCCTCAAAAACACTGACAGACGCACACACAACCACAGACATTCTCACACATATACACACTCCATAAAAATGTATAAGTTTTTTTTTAAGATCCACCCAGTCTCCCTGCCTTATGGGAACTGAAGTGGAGCCTCAGCCTGAGGTCCAGTGTGGGCTGCTGTGCATTGTTTGTGCAGCTCCCTTGCGTGCCCTGTAGAGGTGGCGGGAGCCAGAATGTGATGTCCGTCCAGTCCAGGCACCTCTACAGGGCACACGAGGGAACTGCAAGCAATGCATGTATGACTGGAGCTGCTTTAAGGCCATACCTCCAGCCCACCCCACCTCAAGCTAACACACAGCATATTTTGAATGGTTACTCGGCGTGAGAACTGACGGTGCTGCGCTGGGAGGAGGCTGAGGAGTCTCCCGCCTAGAAAAGTGGAAGGCATGTGGCGACCCACTTTTGGGTCACGACCCACCAGTTGAGAACCAAGGGTCTATGGGGTGTGTTTATAAAGTACAGGCATACTTACCTACTTCCATGTTCCTTCAACAACTAGCACTCTTCACCGATCTGCTCCAGCTCCAGAATGTGGGCAGGCCCTGGACATTCTCCCCTACAATGCAGGACCGCTAGTCCTGCATTGTACATGATGACGTTGGCGAGGAGGCATTCAAACAAACAGCAACAATCATGCATACCAGGATAGAGATGTTAAAACAGCATTTTATGTGGGTGACAGATGATCCCTTTCCTGATCTGAGCTCTGCTGTACACTAGATATTTTTATTTTTAAAACAGCCTCTTTACATCAAAAGTATATTTAGGATTCCTCAAAATACCATTCTGTGTCTGTGTCTCCCATGTGTATATGTATGCTGCCACGGAGAAGTCCAGAAAACTGTTTTTCTATACCATGGTTTTCATTTACTGGCACTGCCCACCCTGGTCCAGGCAGACATGTGGTAGCTCTGGACCAAAAGAAATGAGAATTGGTTCTATTGTAATTACAAAAAAAAAGGGATGTTCTCCATGGAGGAGGTGAACCCATGGTGAAAGATGAAGGTGTATGGAGGATCTGGCTCTGGTCGTAGACGGTTGCCTCTCTGATTACAATAAAATAACTGCTCATAGACAATCATAATGCTAGATGTGTGGTTAGGAGCACCTTGTACAAATGGTTATCTTGTTTAAAATTTATATTGACCAAGAACATCCGATACAGCCGACGCGTTTTGGGGGAAAGCCATTCCCCCTTCTTCAGTACTCAGCTGCCCCTATTGTTGTCAGGATACACTCATGTGATCAGCTCTATTTTATCCGGAATCCAGGCTTCTTAGTGAACCCCATCTTGAATTTTCCATAAACTGCTGTTAAAGCCCTAAAGAAGGAGGAGACCTTTCCTTTTGAAACGAGTTGAATGTTGACTGTGCTTGTTCAACAGAAATATTAAAAAGAACCTCCAAGCGAGATGACCCTTTGTACTAGGTTCTCCTCACCCCATATCCAGGATTTGACCTCCCTGGTTCAGTTAGTCACAGTTAGACCATGGATGGAGGATCTGGTCTCAAGGAACCTCCAAGCCAGATGACCCATGGTACTAGGTGCTCCTCACCCCATATCCAGGATTTGACCTCCCTGATTCAGTCACAGTTAGACCATGGATGGAGGATCTGGTCTCAAGGAACCTCCAAGCCAAATGACCCATGGTACCAGGTGCTCTTCACCACATATCCAGGATTTGACTTCCCTGGTTCAGTCAGTCACAGTTAAACCATGGATGGAGGATCTGGACTCAAGGAACCTCCAAGCGAGATGACCCATGGTACTAAGTGCTACTCACCACATATCCAGGATTTGAACTCCCTGATTCATTCACAGTTAGACCATGGATGAAGGATCTGATCTCAAGGTTTTATCTACAGATGAGTCCTGTTTGTTTGAAGATGCAGAGCAAAACCCATCTGTATGTTGCCACTGAGATATGCCAGGAAAGGAAAATTAGGATAAAGCTTAGAAAAACAATTTTCCATTACATATGCAATACGTCAATGAAGTTAGATACCTGAGCAAACTTCATGATAGGTGGGATTGGAGGTGTGACCACCAGCAAAGCCAACTTGAGTGGAGTAGACACCCTTCTGTCTCCAGAACTTCCTCTCGGCTCCCCAGAAACAGCCCATACCTGAAAGAAGGCAGACATGGATACATTGAGATGGGCATCACACAGCCAGCACATTGTAATGACAAGTAATAGGAGTTAGGTTCCTTTTATTAAAGGATCACATTAACCACCATCTGCAAAAACATCATGCGCAAAAGCCCATCACAGTTTTTAAAAGCGTGAAGACCCTTCTGTGAACGCAAACTGTCTTTCATTCACACAGTTATTATTATTATACAGGGTTTATATGGCGCCAACAGCTTGCGCAGCGCTGTACAATATAAGGAAGACATTACAATCACAATACAAGACAAGATGGTAAGGAGGGCCCTGCCCCTGAGGGCTTACAATCTAAAAGGGGAGGGGCCAGTGATACATGAGGAGGCAGCTGTGTGGGGATGAATTGTTTGAAAACGTGATGGTTGGGTGGTTAGGTTGAGGTGGGATACACAGTTACATAGTAGATAAGGTTGGGGAAAAAGACACATGTCCATCCAGTCCAACCTATCTGTCAGACTAGGGTTCCTTATCTAAGAGTATACAGTATATATACCTGTATGTTGTGCTCATGGATCAAAGAAGACATCTAGAAGGTGTTTGAATTCGTCCAAAGCCTGCAGCTGTTACCACTGCCTGGGGAAGGGAGTTCCACATTGTTACAGCTGTGACTGTAAAAGAACCCTCTCCACAATTTTAAATGAAACCTCCTTCCCTCCACCCAATGTCCCTTTATACATGGGACATTGTAAATGGTAAATATTTGGGGGGAGGTCATTCTTATGTCTTATGTCTTGGGGGGAGGTCATATCTTATGCATGCTTCTTCCAGGTCAGTGAGAACTAGGAAGCATTCCAGCCAGCTCAGGACAGCGAGAAGGTTTCAAAGGATGTCACCAGCACACCAATCTATTTGTGTTCAGCAAATGTCCATTTTAATGACACAAATTGCCATTTAACCGCAAGTGCTTTCCAGGCTTCTCAGGGTCCCCTTCATCACACTAAGTCATTCTGAGCCTGATGAAGGGGACCCTGCGAGGCCCCCGAAAGTACTTGCAATTGAATGGCAATTTGAGTCATTAAAATGGACATTTGCTGAACACAAATTGGTTGGTGGGCTGGTGACATCCTTTGAATCTGCATGCTGTTCACGGCGCCAAGCGTGGTCCCTACAAGCACCCACCTGTATGTATTACAGAAATCCGGTAAGGAGTGCAGCAAGATACATATTAGCGATGCAACGATATATCGGGCGGCGAAACATATCGGCCGAAAATGGCACTTTTGACATAATGCCGAAAGTGCAATTTTTCTGCCGATACGTCGGCGCATCCGTGCTTTCTTTCCTCCCCGCTGGGCGCTGCTCTGTGTCCCTGTGGGGAGGAGGGAAAGTGTGGCAGCCGGCCGAGCGCTGTGAGCGGCCGGCGTCTCTCCTCCCACACCGCTCAGCCTCCTATCACAGTCCGGCAGAGCGGTGTGGGGGCGGAGACAGGCCGCGCTGTCACGGAGGCTGGGCTCTCCTCCCCGCACCGCACGCTCAGCCTCCTGTGACAGCTTGTCAGAGAGGAGAGCGGGTACAAGGAGTGATCAGTGATGTCTGAGTGTTTGTTAAAAATTGAGGACATGGTATGGATACTATATCCTCAATTATGAATGAATGGGAAGTGATCTACATCACATCTACATCACTTCCTGTTCATTCATAATTGTGGTTATAGTAATCATACTCTGTCCTCATGTTATCAATGAACAGGAACACTCAGTATAGAGGAT